TATTTAACCATCTAATACAGCCCTAACAATACTTTATTTAACCATCTAATACAGCCCTAACAATACTTAATTTAATCATTTAATATGGCTCTGAGTATATCTCATTTTACTGTCTAAGTGTGATCCTATGCATAATTTAAATGTGGTGGTTTAGATACCTGGATAACAATTGATTCTTAGAATCAGTTATTAGTGGAAAACCTTATGATCTTTAGAACAATGTTAAGTAATTATCAAAACACAGTACATATCTTTCACAGAGCATGTCTCTAACCTTTTGGAAGACATATTTTGAAAATTTGTATTTACCATTTGATTTTATCATTTCTTAAATACTTTAGTCATCAGAATAGTACGATTGCAACAACAAAATTAAACTGTTACATATAATATTTACCTGACACAGGCTGTAATATTGATACTTTTGCCCAAGTAGTCAATTTTATTACTTGCAACCGCTAATTGAAAGTCCTCGCTTTGTTTTGAAGGGGGCATGTTGTATCGCAGAATTGCCTTAAAAAAATTATCACATCCTTCGTCAAGCTTATACTTCATTGCATTTATAACAATTTCAAGTTGCATGGTAAAAAAACTTTATTATCTCTGTCATTACAGGTCTTTGTTATTAATAAAACAAAATTAGATTCATTATGTTTTATAAGTTTTAACTTTTACAGAATTCATCTTGTAGAATACGTATTTTTACTTAAAGCATACTTTTGATAAATAAAATGTAATTTTTGTGCCAAATTTATAATCTCTAAATTATATACTTTTAACATCTTACATGAAATTTACAAGTGATCAAATCACGATTGATATTGTTCTCTTCAAGGTTATTGTAGTAGAAGGGTGAGCTGATCTCTACAATACGTACCTGTATAAACACACAACCCGAGCCAGTAGCTTCGACTTCCAACAAGTTAGGTATGGTGCTTACATATGCACTTTGTTGAACAAGTTTGTTCGTCTCATCCACTAAAAAGGTATTCTGAAGATCGTCCCCTTTCAGAGTGACTGTCATATCCGCCTTCTCACGATTGATTAATGCTGCATACTTCGACAGAGCTTGAAGAGCTACCACAGTGTCCTACCACAGAATAATAGAACAATAAATAGTAATACGTTCTTATGAAGAGCTACCACAGTGTCCTACCACAGAATAATAGAACAATAAATAGTAATACGTTCTTATGAAGAGCTACCACAGTGTCCTACCACAGAATAACAGAACAATAAATAGTAATACTTTCTTATGTAGAGCTACCACAGTGTCCTACCACAGAATAACAGAACAATATATAGTAATACGTTCTTATGAAGAGCTACCACAGTGTCCTACCACAGAATAACAGAACAATAAATAGTAATACTTTCTTATGAAGAGCTACCACAGTGTCCTACCACAGAATAATAGAACAATAAATAGTAATACGTTCTTATGTAGAGCTACCATAGTGTCCTACCACAGAATAACAGTACAATAAATAGTAATACTTGCTTATGTAGAGCTACCACAGTGTCCTACCACAGAATAACAGAACAATATATAGTAATACGTTCTTATGAAGAGCT